CTATAAATTTATAAAAATTAAACTACATTCAAAATGGGTTAATTTTGGGACTTCCCTGGTGGTCCAGTGGTTAAGAATCCGTCTTCCAGTGCAGGGGACATGGGTTCGATCCCTGGTTGGGGAACTATAGATCCCACATGGCGAGGGGCAACTAAGCCAATGTGCTGCAACTACTGAGCCCACATGCTCTGGACCCCAAGAGCCACAACTGGAGAGAAGCCTGCATGCCACAACGAAGAGCCCAAGCACCACAATGAAAGATCCCACATGCCGCAGTGAAGGTCCCGTGTGCCGCAACTAAGACCTGATGCAGCCAAATTAAAAATTTTAAAAAAAGGCAAATTCTTAATGAACTGATTCAGGAAATGAAAAAAAAATTTTTTAAGTTACTTTTATGGTTTGTAAATTATACCTCAATAATACTGAAGAAAAACTATTTTAGAAAATTAATGCATAGTTGAACTTTCAAGGAATAGTAATAGTAAATCCCTAAGAGCCAGAAATGAAGAACAAACTGAAATTCAGTGTAAGGTAAAGAATAGACACTGACTGCCTTGGAGGTAGGAGAAGGTGGTGCAGTGAAGCTGGTAATAAAGAGGCTTGGATCTTATCACCTCGTGAAATAAAATTCATATTTTATGGCAAGACAAGAAAAAACAGCACTTCCTGGTGGCACAGTGGTTAAGAATCCACCTGCCAATGCAGGGGACACAGGTTTGACCCCTGGTCTGGGAAGATCCCACATGCCGCGGAGCAACTAAGCCCGTGTGCCACAACTACTGAGCCTGCATTCGAGTCCACGAGCCACAACTCTGAGCCTGTGTGCCACAACCACTGAAGCCTGTCTGCCTAGACGCTGTGCTCTCAACAAAGAGAAACCACCACAACAAAGAGTAGCCGCTGCTCGCCACAACTAGAGAAAGCCCATGTGCAGCAATGAAGACCCAACACAGCCAAAAATAAATAATAAATTTTTAAATATATATACATAAACAAAAAAATCTTCTGTGCCCTTTGGCCTCCTCTCTCCCCTGACTCTGCCTTTTTTTCTTTTTTTTCGGTACGTGAGCCTCTCACTGTTGTGGCTCCTCCCGTTGTGGAGCACAGGCTCCGGACGCGCAGGCTCAGCGGCCATGGCTCATGGGCCCAGCCGCTCCGCATCATGTGGGATCTTACCAGACCAGGGCACGAACCTGTGTCCCCTGCATCGGCAGGCGGACTCTCAACCACTGCGCCACCAGGGAAGCCTTCCTTGGTTTTTAGATGCATCACTCCAATCTCTGTTTCCATGGTCACATGGCATTCTCCCGTCTGTCTTTTCTAAGAACACTAGTCAGGTTAGGGCCCACCCTAATGATCTCATCTTAATTTGACTACATTTGCAATGACTCCATTTCCATATAAGGTCACATTCACAAGTGCTGGGGATTAGGACTTCAATATCTTTTTAGGGGGCACAATTCAACCCATAATGTCACTCACAGCAAGGAAAAGGAGATAAAGCTTTAGGCCAGCTAAGGACAGGGAGCTAGAACTGAAAGTTTTACAAAAAGCCAGAACCCAAGGAGTGCAGGGATCTTAGTCATCCTGGCAATTCTGCTGCCTGGAACAGTCCTGATCCTGAGTACGTATGTGCTCATTTGTTTAACTGGGCAAAGAACGGACACAAGTTGGAAGCGTAAAGAAGCCCCTGTGTCCTTGTCTTGTTGAAGTGAGGTTTTTATTTTCTGACAAACAAGGAAAATAAAGGAACAATGAACAGGCTAGAGAAGCAGCATAAACTGGCCTGAAAGAGTTAATCCTAGTTTTATTTTAACTGTTACTGATCTGTAGTGTCTGTAATTAGCTTTGTCCTTCACAAAGCTAACCTCTTAAGACTCTCTGACTCTGTGAATTATATCCTGCCCCTGGTATATACACCCCCTACACTCCCTTGTAACAAATAACCCCTTGGAGTGTTCTGCATTTCAGCAAGAAGGTCCTGGGCCAATAACCCAGAGATGAACAGACCCAATTACCTGGCTGCCTGACGCCAGCTATGACCATTTTGAAATAAAGCAGAGAGAAGAAGAATGCAAGACCTTCACTACTTTGATCCTTATCACCTACCCCAGACTGCAAGCCCCACCTATAAGACATTTCCTGATTCCCCAGGGAGGAGGGCACCGTTCTTGAGGCGCCAGCCTGCTATGTTCTCTCTTTGCTTGGCAAAGAACAAAGCTACTCTTTCTTTTTCCTCCAAAACTCTGCCTCTGTATTTCTATTGAGTGTCTGTGCAGAGAGCTAATATTTTGCCATCAAAGTGAAGGGAGGAAGAGACTGAGGTAAGGTTGGAGAGAGGGCATAAAAGAGACAAGACAGACATTCACTCCCTAGGTCATCACAGGCCACACCCATCCCTCCTGTCTCATGGGGAGGGGTGTGGGGAACTTCACACATTTAAATTCCCTCCTTGGCCCCTAAGGCCTCTTAAATTTGTGACTTTAGGCCCTAAATTTGAGGCAGAGTCTGAACGGGTCTCCCAGAACTCGATAGGTCATCTTTTGTCCATAAGCCATCTTTGATGTCTGTTTTCATTGCTTTTTAAATAAATGTGGGGACTTCCCTGGTGGCGCAGTGGTTAAGAATCCGCCTGCCAAGGCAGGGGACACGGGTTCGAGCCCTGGTCCAGGAAGATCCCACATATTGCAGAGCAACCAAGCCCGTGCGCCACAACTACTGAGCCTGTGCTCTAGAGCCTGTGAGCCGCAACTACTGAAGCCGGGGCGCCTAGAGCCCATGCGCCGCAACAAGAGAAGCCACCACAACGAGAAGCCTGCGCACCACAACGAAGAGTAGCCCCCACTTGCCGCAACTAGAGAAAGCCTGCGTGCAGCAACGAAGCCCCAATACAGCCAAAAACAAAATTAATTAATTAAAAAATACCATCAAATAAATGTGGGATGAGGTATTCCTTCCCCTTCACACTCCCAGTTAAGGGTGCTCTAGTTAACACCATGGTGCTGTAAGGTTTTTAATTTTATCTTTTTTTATTTTTTTATTTTTTATTTATTTATTTTTTTATTTTTTTGCGGTACACGGGCCTCTCACTGTTGTGGCCTCTCCCGTTGTGGAGCACAGGCTCCGGACGCGCAGGCTCACGGGCCCAGCCGCTCCATGGCATGTGGGATCTTCCCGGACCGGGGCACGAACCCATGTCCCCTGCATCGGCAGGCGGACTCTCAACCACTGCGCCACCAGGGAAGCCCTTTAATTTTATCTTTTATAATCAAATCATAGTCTGTTCACTCAAACTTTCGTAGCAAGGACAGGAGCTGGTCACAATATTGGGCACTGTGGCAGAACAAAGAGAAGATATGCATAACATCTGCCTGATGGAGCCCAGTTAGGGAGGCAAGTATGTTGCAAGGCGTGTGAGTGTGCTGAGGGCAACTTTTAATCACAGACTTGCTACTCAGTGTGCCCCGTCCACCCCCGACTCCCCCTGCCGCCTGCAGCGTTAGCACCATCTGGGAGCCTGTTAGAAATGCAGAATCTTAATCCAGCTCCAGACCTGAGTCAGGATCTTCATTTTAACAAGATTGCTAGCAGGTGATACGTGTGCACATGGGAGCTTTTGTCCAGGAGGCAGAAATTACTTCCTAGCTGGGTGTCCAAGGATGGTATCAATTCAGCCATCATCACCAGGACAAGGCCCTGTGCTGGGCACTGGGGACCTACAGAAGAAAGAAACATGTCCCTGCCCTCAAGGAGCTCACAGGCTAGCAGGGAGGCAGACAGACAACCACAGGAGTGGTGTAAAGGTAGGGGAGTAGCAGAGTCTGCTTTACAGAGGAGGTGGCTCTGAGATGCTCAACCTCTAATGCTAGTAGAGGCATCATTTGTTCTAAGAAAACTTATAAAGCAGGCACAGTTGATCCAGCACAGTACCACTCAATTTCCTGTCGGTTCCAAGTAAGGTAAGAGCTTTCTGATGGGATCATCTTTGCGCTGGGGTTCACACAGCTCTTTGCAAAGTGGCACAGTGCCTCTCAGAGCCTCGCTTTTCACAACTACAAAAATTGGCCAGTTTGAAATTTTAAAAGGAGTTATCAGGGTTATCCATGCTTTTATTGGAGTCACAAAGCCACGTTGTGAGAGGATGGCACGTAAGGACTAACATGAAAACTTACTGAATGGAAAAAAACAATGCTGCTGGACAGTATGTGCACTATGAGATCATGTTTAGAAAAATAGTCCCATACATGGTATATGCACTATTTTTTAACGTGTGCTATATATAAAACTATACATGTAGAAAAAGTACTGTAATAACTGACTTTCCTGAAGAGTGTAATTGGCCTTTATACACTTGAACAGCACTTCATTTTCAAAGAAACGTACTACTTAAACGAAAACATTTTAAAAGTACATTGGAAATTGGAAGTAATGTTAATCCCAATTATCTGAGTGGAGTGATTATGGATGAAATTTTCTAATATACTTTCTAAATTTCTTGCAATGAGCATATATCCATCAGGGCCTTTTGAATTGTCAGAAGCCCTAACCCTAGCCCACTTTCTTGCTGAGTCTGCAGGTCTCTGGCGCCCTCTGCCGAAGTATCTCTAAGGTGCATGTCGCTCTCCTGGGGGTCTTGTTAAAAAGTAGATTCTGTTTCAACGGGTGTGGGGCGGGACCTGGGAGTTAAACAGATTCCCAGGGGACCCGATGTTGGACCACACCTAACGACAAGGATTGAAACTGCTAGGCCACGAAGAGTTAGTCTACATCAGCAACCACAGTACCACCGCCACTGTCAGCCTTGGACAGCGGTCCAGGACTGCGCCAGGGAAAGCCTAAACCTAACGCGCAAAGGAGCCAACGCCGGGAGAAGGTGGCCTAGGACTCTGCCGGCGGCCCCGCCCCTCTAGGCCCTCGGGGAGCCTCTATTGGCCACCGCACCCACGTGAGCGTCGCGTCACGTGAGGCCGCAGTCCTACGCGGAGTGTGTTCTTCCGGGGGTCCGTGGCTGGCGCAGCGGGCTCCATGGTGGGATGCCGCAGGCCGAGAGGGGCAGTGTGTGCGCAGCCGCCTGCACCGACGCCTCCGCCAGCTTCCATCCGCCTCCCCAGGCCAACTCGCTGCGGCGCCGCATTTGGGGACACCTAAAATCCGTTCTCCGATTGGGTTAGTTCGCTTTTGGGGAAGATGCACACCTCCTACATCCACTCTCTACCTTTTTTAAAAAATATATATTTATTTATTTGGCCATGCCGGGACTTAGTTGGGGCACGTGGGATCTTTTTAGTTGGGGCGCGTGGGATCTTTTTAGTTGGGGCACGTGGGAGCTAGTTCCCGGGGCCAGGGATTGAACCCAGGCCCCCTGCATTGGGAGAGTTTTAGCCACTGGACCACCAGGGAAGTCTTCTCTATCTCTCATTTTGACTGAGAGAAATGTTCTGGACATTCCCCCCAATGCTGAGAACTCCTGAACTACCTCCCCATGTCTGCTAAGGTGTACGTCTTTGCCGCTTCCATCCCGAGTCATAGGCCAACTTCTGCTTGTTAAAGAGGTTTCATTGCATCTGCAACCCAGGGTTAGGCCCTGACCTAAGAATCAGTAGACAGGCTGATTCTTTAGGTGTAAGCCTGTTTAGGGCTAACCCAGTGGGAGCTGCCATGCTTGCGGTTGGTATCCTGCTGGCTGTAATTCTTGGAGTAAGTGGTCCAAAGTAAGATGAGTGACTGTGAGCCATGAGGTTTTTCTAGTCTTCTCAGTTGTGCAGCGGGCCTTCATAAGCCTTTACGTAAGCAGGCTGGCACTGGCATATACAGTGCTTCTGTGTAAATCGTGCAGAGACACTCTTTCCTCAAGACACTATATATTCAGTTGCTGGGAAACTGTTAACGAGAAATGAGAGTATTAGGTTTAGATGGACACCATCCCCAGAGGAAGCAGCTCTGTCTGCAGGCAGGTTTAAAACTCAAAACCAAGCAAGGGGTCTGCCTATCCTTTGTGTAGGAGGCTTCTGAAGGTCCTCTCTTCTCTCAAGGCTCTCCTTTAAAAAAGAAAGAAATCTGCAAGTTCTCCACGTGATGCTTGGGGTCGCCCTTCAAATAGTCCCGGGTGTGGTTTCCCCAGGAATGGCTGTGTCCTGGTTCAGAGCCAGGAGCCACACTGCCTGGGCTTGAATCCTGGCGGCTCCCCCCAACTGTGGCACTTTAGGCAAGTTACTTAATGCCTCGGGATTTTTATCTGTAAAATGAAGTTAAGGAACAAATGCAAATGTACTTAAAACAATTCGCAGAGGGCCTGGCTCAGAGTAGAAGCTCAAGAATGCCCGATGGGACCGGCCTGAGTGGGATGCAGCCTTCACAGCCTGGCGGGGAGACAGGACTTACACATGCTTTACCTGCTCCCGGGAAGTGAGGACTCTGCCCCTGATTTACTCATCCCTCATATCGAGTAATAAGTACTTGGCCCTCCGGGATTGAACTTCAAGCCTTGGTCACTGTGGGGGCAGTAAGAGACTGGTGTTCAATAGAAAATAACTGGATAGGAATTCGCATTTGACCTCGGCCCAAGGTCACATGGCTGGCAAGATGGCCAAGTATGGGTCTTCTCTGAGGTTGTTTCAGGTGTAAAGTGGGTGTGCGCCCTGCTGAGGGTTAAGTGAAGCCCTGTGCAGGAAAGCTCTGAGGACCCCCAGGCTGTGGTGGCCCGGCTGCCAGCAGTAACCATGACCCTGGCTGCTGTGAGGGGGTCTGCCGGTCATGCTGCCCAGGGCTGGCCGTGGCTGCAGTGACACTTTCTCCTGCAGGTGAACGTGGGCTTCTGCGTCTTAGGCATTATTGTGATGGCCACCACCAATTCTCTGATGTGGACGTTCTTTAGCCGGGGCCTCAGTTTCTCCATGTCTTCAGCCATTGCATCTGTCACAGTGACTTTTTCAAATATCCTCAGCTCGGTGAGTAGCCTGAACGTACAGTTTCTCTGTCCCAAACCTGGGCTCTGGGAGGGTTCTGGGTGGGTTGTCCTTGGGCAACCCCTGCTTCTACATAGGAGAAGGCCAGGAACTGAAGCAGAGGTTGGGCTGTGTCTTGACTCCTGGTGGCTGCCCCTCTAATCTCTAACTTGGAGGAATTCTCAAGTTAGATGGGGATGAAGTCCAACTGTCAAAAGCCTACTTGATTGCTGCTCCTCAGGGGTCTGTGAACTCAGGCAGGAGATGTGGAGGGTCGAGGTTCTTCTCTCCCAGGTGGGGCTGAGCCACTCAGCCCTGCAGTCCAGGCAGGGAGGACTTGGTGGACCAGTTGTGTGCTGGGCCTGGCTGCCGGCCTCTGCTGGGCTTTCTTGTGCACTTTGCTGGGTCCGATGCTGTGAGGAGGTACCCTCCCCACTTCTCCAGGTGAGATACGCTGAAGGTAACAGATGGGTTTCAGGCCCAAGACTTCCAGCGCCAGACCTTTCCTCCCACCCTAGGAGGGCACTCAGCCACAGGGGAGTCAGGTGGTGCCCACCCACCGTGGTCGCATCCTGTGGGCATGTGCCTGCCCAGCCTCACAGCTGTCTCTGTCCTGCAGGCCTTCCTGGATTTTGTGTTGTATGGAGAGTGCCAGGAGGTCTCGTGGTGGGGAGGAGTCTTCCTCATCCTCTGCGGACTCACCCTGATCCACAGGGAGCTCCCACCACCCAGGAAGGCTCTTCCACACAAGCAGCAGTAGCACCAGCGGGCTGGGCGGACCCGCTGGAAAGACAGTGATGGCGGCTCAGGCTCGGGTTGGCGTGTGGGGACTGCTTCTCAGGGCGATCTGGGTGTGCAGCCTTCTGACCCTCGGCCAAAGAGAGATGCTTCCCAGGGAACCAGGCCTGTGACCGAGCAGCCTTGCGGGTGGACAGCTCCGGCTTCGCAGCAGTGTTCTGCCCGAAGCCTTCTCGGTCCGTCTGCTCGGTGCTGTTGATTCTCACGCTCCACAACCCACCCAGTGAGCCATGACAGGTGTGGGAGACCCTGGGGTTGGTGGGCTTCCTGTGTGGACTTGAAACCATGCTGTAACTGCAGTCCTGTTGCCTAACAAAGGCAAGCCATGGAATTTTGGAATCAGTGACTGGTGGGGCTTTTGACAACTTCACACTGATATGTCAGGCCATCAGCGTCATGCTTCTGGATTATGGCAAGAGAAGGAAAATTAGGTAAATAAATACCTTTTTTGTAAGTTAAAACTGCCAGGTGTGGAATCTTAATTCTTTCCTACTTTTTTTCCTTTCCTAAGTTTTTGGAGTAAGAGCAGCCAGGGTGAGCTGCAATTCCCGGAGGGGGAGTTGAAACTCCTCCCACTGCTTCCAGACCTGGGGCTTGACTGCTCTCTGCCTGCGTGGTTCCTTCCTGACTTCACGCAGGCTGGTGCTCTTCAAATTCAGGAGCATCTGTCCATTCTCTTGGTCCCAAGGAGAAAGGCTTGACCTCACTTTGGGGGCCTAGTTTTATTTTACTTATTAGGAAAGGAAACTGGCCCAGAGGTTGCTCCCACCCCTTCATGTTACCTCTTCTGCCTTTTGGTCCCATGACATTTTTGTATCTTACGCCACGTGAATCTAATTCCTAGTTCAAAACAGTCTGTTTGCTGCCTGCACCCTCTCCCCGTGCATAGCTTCAAGTGCGATGCTCACCTGCCCCAGTTCCCCGGGGCTCCCCTGGCTGGCTGAGAGCCCTCTCAGCTCTCCTGAGCCTGACTGCCGGCCTCAGGAGGTCTCCTTTCACATCCCCTGCAGGAGAGAGGGCCTTCTTAGCCACGAGGCTGGGGGAGAGAAGGGTCGTGTCCAGCTGGCCCCTCCTCCCCATGCACATAGCACCTTCATTGCTCTCCTCCATTACTCGTGGCAGTGGCCGGGTGCTCTCCAGAGCTGTTCTGTGACTCCCAGTGACTTTGCTGTGGCCCAGCCCCCTCTCCAGCTGCTCCCTTGCTGCCTCCTTCCCTCCCCCACTCACCGTGCCTGAGTCACCCACACGTCTGCATCTCAGCAGTTCTCGAGGCCAGCACGGCCAGTCGTGCCTCCATGCTTTTGTGCCTGCTTTTCTCTTTGCCTTGGATTCCCTCCCCCTTCCCCTGTCCCTGGAAAACTCCTTCATATCCAACAGGGCACAATTTGCTGTGCTTTCTGAGCTCCCACAAGGGCCAAGGCCAAGCTGTGAGTCACAGAATGGTAATTGACTAGCCCCACTTTGACACATTGAAGCCTCCCAGCCTCACTGGGAAGGGAGGTACTCTTGTTACTCTCATTTTAGAGGTGAGCAAACTAAGGCTCAGAGAGGTTGGGTCATTTGCCCAAGGTCACACAGCTAATGAATGCCCGAATCACTGTGTGACTCCAGGGTTCGGCTCTTAATCCATATAAGCATCCTGCCTCCCCCTTCAGCACGTTAAAGCCCTGGAGAGGTCCTGTGGACGAGGAGCCTGTTTTCCAGTGTCTAATAGCACTCCCCAAGCCTCACCTCCTACCCCTCTGAAGGTGATGCTCCCTGGAACACTCTTCACAACTCCATGATCAAATCTGACCCCATTATTCTACCTGTGAGGAAGATGAAGACCATTCAAGGCTCTGCAGGGTGTGTTCACATATGTGAGTCAGGCACCCTGCCAAGGCCAGACGTGAAGACTGCTGAGAGCTGGTGGCCGGGCCTCCCTGAGCAGTTCACGAATAGGGCAAGAAGAGGTCCATCTCAAAGCAGACGTTGTCCTGATGGGACCCAGCCTCCCATCCAGACGCCTGCTGGATACATAAAGATGCTTGGTGCTGACCCAACCCTCTCACTCTCAACAGATGTGCCTGCAGGAGACCACGGGACACAATGAGATGTTTGTCTAAGAGGAAGGTTTGTCATTTTTCAAAAAGCAGAGAGACACGTGTCTCCACCTAAGAAGATGAGGAAGTGTTCACTGTGTCTCTTTACTCATTTCAGAGGTATCGTATCTTTTTTTTTTTTTTTTTTTTTTTTTTGCAGTACGCGGGCCTCT